TCCACCTCTCCAGCCCTGACTATGCCAGTGTTCCTGAAGCCTGCTACTTCCCTGTGTCAGTCCACACATTTCTGGTCATACCCGGATCCCTAACAATCTAGTATAACTCTGTCCCTTCTAGTCTGGAATTCTATAGCTACTAGCTCAATAACCTTTGACTAGAGCCAGGTTAGGCATCCAACGACCACTTGAGGTCTGGTTGCATGATAGATTGGATGCTACTAGGGACTACGTGCAGAGTAGATAGGCTGACTCTGAGTTCCAGTGCCAAACCACAGTTTCTACCAGTGAAAAGTTGTCCTTCAGGCTGGTTGGACAATGGCTGCAGGGTCTTCCGATAACCGCTGATCTTGTGAACAGGTATCTGCCACCATGATGAATGCCGCATTGGGATCATCCTCAGCGACTCCTTCAGCTGAACTTTGCTGCATCATTTATCTGCTGGTATCTTTATTAATAACTAAATATACACATATATATGTTCACAATTCCACCAGGACTCAAGTTGAACCCATTACTAATAATATCTGTTTATACATTGGATGTATGTACTATTAACAATCTTTTCTTATATAAAGCTTGTATTATTTACATACTGGTAAGCATCTATATACAGTACCAGGGGTGGACTGACAACTCAAGGGGGCCCCGAGCAATAGGGGATCACTCAAAAAAGCCTATGAAAAAGGTACCAGGGGCATCTCATGGGGCCCCCTACTGACCCCAGGCCCTCAGGCAGTGCCCGAGTTTCTAAATGGTCAGTCCGCCCCTGTACAGTACTTATAGGAATGTTATAGGCTGGTGGCAGTAGTTATTCACAATTACTTTTATCATATTACTGGTTAATTTCCCAGGAAGAGAATCCCCTTTGTTCACAGAGGCCCTATCTTGGGTGGAGGCACTGCCAACTTTGTAATGAAACCCACTTTTCCAATTAGTGAAGGTTCTGGTTCTCTAATTTACCTCCAGGTTTAGCATAATATCCTTTTTAAGAAAAGCCATTTTTTCATAACCCCCACACACACACTCCCATCCCCAAATCCCTAATAAGAGGGCTATAATATATACATTCAGGTTTTAAATTCTGAAACACATCTTGAATGGAATTAATTGCTCGAGTTTGCTCAATTGCTTCCCAGCTAAAGGAAGCCAGTAAGTGCTAAAAATTTTGAAGCACTCATGACGGGAGTCAGTTAGAAAAATGTCAGAGGTCATCTCTGGGAATCACTCTTCATTACCATTACTCGAGTGGTGAAAATGGCAAAAACCCCTTCTAACTTAAAGGAAAAAGTGCATTAAAGTGGCAGAAAAATATAAGTATGTGTTTGCAATTATGGTAAGCAATGAATCATCACAATATGTAGTCTCATCTCAAGAATCCTATACGTGTAAGAACATCCTGTGACTGTAAGGGAAAGCCCTCACTGACCTTTGTTTGCATCATAGAAAACAGTCACTTGATACTGTCCAACTAAACAGGATGATCAAAATGAAAGAGAATGAAAGTCACATACTCACATGTATAAAACATTATAGTACATGACAGCCTGACCTGATTTCAGCTCTACCCTTAGACACTTCAGGGAGTAATGTAAAAATATATAAATATGGAAATATATGGGGCACTGGTATATATATATATATATATATATATATATATATATACTTAATTAATTAGGTGCAGAAGAGGAGAATTTTTGGAATCTGGTGTACATTTCTCTCATACATCCATTTTGCCAGTACTTCTCTTCAAAGTTCCTAGTTACACCAATCCAGATTTTACCATGCTCTAGTTGTGTTCTTTAGGTTTAAAATACACTATATTTACAAAAGTATTGGGGCACCCCTCCTGCCATCAAACCAATAGAACACCTTTGGGATGAATTAGAGAGGAGGCTGTGAGCCAGTCTTGTCCGACATAAGTGCCTGACCTCACAAATGCGCTTCTGGAAGAAAGGGCAAACGTTCCCATAGACACACTCCTAAACCTTGTGGACAGCCTTCCCAAAAGAGTTGAAGCTGTTATAGCTGCAAAGGGTGGGCCAACTCAATATTGAACCCAATGAACTAAGACTGGAATGCCATTCATTTTATGTGTGTGTAAAGGCAGGCATCCCAATATTTTTGGCAATATAGTGCACTATATTGCCAAAAGTATTGGGACACCCCTCCAAATCATTGGATTCAGGTGTTTCAATCACCTCCATGGCTACAGGTGTATAAAATCAAGCACCTTGGCATGCAGACTGCTTCTACAAACATTGGTGAAAGAATGGGTCACTCTCAGAAGCACAGTGAATTCATGAGTGGTACCATGATAGGTTGCCACCTGTGCAATAAGTCCATCTGTGAAATTTCCTTGCTACTAAATATTCCACAGTCAACTGTTAGTGATATTATAACAAAGTGGAAGCAACAGGAAACAACAGCAACTCAGCCATGAAGTAGTAGGCCATGTAATATGACAGAGCAGAGTCAGCACATGCTGAAGCGCACAGTGCGCAGAAGTCGCCAACTATCTGTAGAGTCAATAGCTAAAGACCTCCAAACTTCATGTGGCCTTCAGATTAGCACAACAACAGTGCTTAAAGAGCTTCATGGAATGGGTTTCCATGGCCGAGCAGCTGCATCCAAGCCTTACATCATCAAGTGCAATGCAAAGCGTCGGATGCACTGGTGTAAAGCACGCTGTCACTGGACTCTAGAACAGTGGAGACGTGTTCTCTGGAGTGATGAATCATGCTTCTCTGTCTGGCAATCAGATGGATGTGGCTGGGTCTGGCAAATGCCAGAAGAACAGTACTTGCCTGACTGCATTGTGTCAAGTGTAAAGTTTTGTGGAGGGGGGATTATGGTTTGGTGTTTTTTCAGGGTTGGGCTTAGCCCCTTAGTTCCAGTGAAGGGAACTTTTAAGGCGGCAGCATACCAAGACACTTTGGACAATTTCATGCTCCCAACATGACTGCACACCAGTGCACAAAGCAAGTTGCATAAAGACATGGATGAGCAAGTTTGGGGTAGAGGAACTTGACTGGCCTGCACAGAGTTCTGCCTCAACCGATAGAACACCTTTGGGATGAATTAGAGCAAAGACTGTGAGCCAGGCCTTCTTGCCCGACAACAGTGCCTGACCTAAAAAATGCACTTCTGGAAAATTTGGTCAAACATTCCCATAGACATACTCCTAAACATTGTGGACAGCCTTCCCAGAAGAGTGAAGCTGTTATAGCTGCAAAGGGTGGGCCAACTTAATATTGAACCCTACGGACTAAGACTGGGATGCCATTAAAGTTCATGTGTGTGTAAAGGCAGGAATCCCAATATTTTTGGCAATATAGTGTATTTAGCTGATTTAACCTGAAAGTTAAATATGACTTTAAAGCTAAGCTTTACAAGGCTTATAAATTATTACACTTAGATATTTGTGTCAATAATGCCTAAGTAAAGTGTTACCCTGGAATCTGAAAAGTAAGTAGGTGGTAAATGTTCAGCAAAAATATGGTATAGTACATAGTTATAGAAATATTCTAAGATCCCAGATATTGCAGATAATGTCTCCTGTGCCTGTTTAAAATAAAAAAAATCCCTTTGGATGATGTTAACATTTAATAATGTTTTAAATATGATCATTATTCTGAAGCTTTCTGTATCTGAAATGTTGTTTTTTTTTTCCAAAATAAGGGTTAATTCATTCATCTTTTGATGTCTGTTCCTAGGAATTAACCTACTCTGATATCATATTGTGACCAAAAACAAACATACAGTTTCCTTTTTAATTATGATAAGTTTTAAAATGCTGATGCATTGATAACAAGTAAGTTGAAAATGTTTTGTTGGAACAAAAACAGTAGACAAAATATTTGAAAATTAATGTGGGAAGATGATATTTTTTTGACAGCTCTTTACTGTCATATCTTTCATGCTGCAGACTGGTGGAGGAATTAAAATTCCATGGGCCATGCTGGTTAAAGATAGGTACCGTTTAGCAATAATAAAACAGTGATAACTACGTCAGAGTTATTTCTTTCCTGAAAGCTGAAGATCTATTTGAAGGATCACTCTAGCCAAACATAAAAAGTCTGCATTTAAGGTAAATCTGTCAAAAGAGAAATATAAGCCAACCTTATTTTGAAAATGATAGTTGCTTTGATTCTATGTATGAGCCTTCAAAATTTTCTAAGTGGCTTGGAAAACGTAAGCAAAGCAGGAAAGTGAAAGAACAGTTGTAAGTCTTTAATGTTCCATGATATTAATTCAAAGAATTAAATTGACTCCTCCCCGCAAACAAAAAAAATGCTCATGTCATTACTCTTGATGGGTTGGACTAGCATCTCAAAAAAATTGCAAAGTTTTTCAAATCCACCTGACAAATGTATATACAAAATGAATGTTGAAGATATGAAACAAATTCTGAAAACGAATCAGTTCAACAAAAATGAAGAAATGAAATTCTTCAATAAACAAATGCATCCAAAAAGTGAAAAAACATTCTGGCATGCGCATGTCTAACTGCTTTATAAATGTATCTTTTAAAGTACTGTATATCTACTGTATATTTAAATGACAAAACTTTTTTTCATTTTGAATAAATTAGGGATTTGTTATACCTCTGTCAGTTTTTTATTGGCCATCTGTGTCCATTGGGGAAAAACCACAGGAAGTGAAAGGCAATTTCTTTCTTAGAATAGCTGTCACTAGAAAAAAAAATATCCCTATTAGAAGATCTGTCCTCTAATTTGTGTTGTGGTGACAATTCAAGACTGGATTGTTCCTCACTTTCTAGTCCAGAAAAAGGTCACCAGGACAAATAGAAGGAGAAAGTCTCTCCCAGTGGGGACACAGGCAATAGTAACCAATAACCACTGTCCAAAACTATACATACACTTACTTTTTAAATACAAGGTAATTAAAAAGAGGTCCTACAGGAGTAAAATTTGTGTTGGCTTCACTTTAACCATGCCTCTAGGCCAGAATCTGAGTTTTTTATCCTCTTAGGTGTCAGGAAAGGCCTGCCCATAGTGCAGGTAAAGTTCCACAGCGCACAAATATGCGCAGAGTCCTTACGAGCCAAACAGATGTGCAGGCACTTGGACATAGGCGCGCGCATGCGCACTCACGCATAAGAGCGCGCACCTGCCACTAATGCTGGCACCAAAAGGGCTATTTAAATTGGCTGCAGTAGTTGTCCCATTGCCGTATGGTCTTTTCCCTGCTTGTGTTCCCTGATTCCTGTGATTGTCTCCTGATACCGAACCAGCCTGTTTCTGACCTCTGCTTGGTTGCTACCTGCCCTGACCTCTGGCTTGCCTTGGATTATTCTTCTGTCTCCGCTCCTGTCTGATTGAGCCTCTATTACTGATTTGGCCTGTGACCTGACTACTCTTCCTCCTGCCGCTTTAAGCCTGATCTGCCTGACCAATACTGAACCCGGCTCTCGTCTGACCCTGCATCCTCAGCACGCTGCTCTCGGGTTTCCATCCATCCAGCATGGCTACATCAGAACCCTGCTTCCTGCCTACAACTCATCAGCTTACCCGCTACTACTGGACTGACCACAGGCACTCATACCCCATTGTGCCCCTGCGACCGCTGTCTCACCATCAGCGGACCTTGAGCCAGAGTTGTACGAGAGGTCTGTCTCTTCACATCAGGCTCACTATCCAGGTACGTGGCATTAGGTCCCCGATTTATGCAAACCAGTGTACAATAGGAACCACTGCATTGAATAAACCCCTGCCTTTTGTATCACAGAAACTCTAGTGGTGAGATTTATCAGTAATAGTTGGTGTACCTAGTTTTTCCATGAATCCAAAGCAAAGGCATCATTTGATTTGCAGATGGATTTCACATTTATTTACATTTTTACATCATGAAGCATTAATTTGGAAACTTTAAAACATTTTGCTTTTAATGACCACGGCAGCTGGAAAGAACTGGAAATTCCAGTAAGGATAACCCATATCCAGAGTCCCCAATATAAAGAGTCAGCATGTCAGTGAGCTTTTTAGCAACAAAAAAAACTGGAAAAATTTGAGGAGCAGGTTGCAAATGAAAATGTAGGCCTCTTAGTATAGTACACATTTGCAATAAGAACAGTTTACTTTATCTGTTTTATTAACTGTAAATTGTTGCCCAAAAGATTCACCCTTCAATGTATTTAGCAGATCATTTTGTTCCAATTCCAGAAATTGACCCTTGTTTTCCCTCAACCTGGCCCACAGTAATCAGTAAAGACAATTTAAAGCTGAATTCCACCTTTTTTCTTTATTGATTATAAAGAATAAGTACACAAACAGTAGACTATTGGTAGGGAGTAAAATATGAATAATAATAAAGGCATTACACAGTATGTTTTGCATAGGATTACATAAGGTGTTGGCTGAAGGAAGAGTAAATCAAAGATTTACCCAATAAAGAAGATTTAGAGATCTAAACAGTAAAAACAGTAGTTAGAAATACCAACAAATTAAAAAAATGAACAATAAATGTCAGTAATAACAATGATTGAAAAAGCGTGTTCCGATATTTCCTGTATTGCAACGCATCGGTTTGTATTTCTAGTAGGTTACGTGTAATATTTAAATGTGTTAAGGATGGTGAATATAATATGTCTGTCAAAAGTACTGAGTTAAATTATTTTAAGTTAGGGTAGTGCACTTGTTATAATGGAGCCAAAGGTTCCATTGCTGCCAAAATTTTTGTACGGTTAGATGTGCTCTGGAAAACTTGTATTCAAATAAAGTACAGTCATTGAGTATTTGGATGACTATAGGGAGAGAGGGTGTTTCTATACATTTCCATCTGAAAGCCACCTTTATCATCAGTCTTGCACAGGTGTACAGGATTCTCACCAGTACTTAAAATGCTTTGTCTAATTTCACTACGTTTTGTAAGTTTCTCATAGTGTGCATAGAAGCTACAGTAAGACAGATAGGGCCTGCCTCATTTCATGCTTGCAGGACATCTAAAAACACCTATGCTTTTTCTCCCCAGCCCAACTGTCCTTGGCCTACCTCTTTCATTCAATAGATTTTAGTTATTTCAAATATGGAATCTCAGTATTACATGTGGGCATTATCTTGGGCAGTCTTCTTTTTCAGGGAGCTATTTACAGCCCCTCCCACTGATGATCTGTCTCCATTGTATAGAAAAGCAGAGATAAACAGTTATTATGTCACTTGGTCTAAAATGAGATTTGTAATGAAAACAGAAAAGTTTTATGTAAAAATGTCAGTGCTTTTGGTGCTCCATCCCCCTGAGAATGCTCAGGTAGCAAACTATGTCGGGCGGGGCCTAGCCAGTGATGTCACTCCTGTTGGATCTTGGAAACATGGCATTTTCTCTGCTCTGTGTTTTATGATTCAGTCTACTTTTGACTGTGTAAGTATGTGTTTTCTGGAAAATAAAACATCTTGTTTAGCGGTATTAGACTATCTTGGCCCCTCTGGGTCTTTTTTTGAGGATACATCCTGTTTGCTTGGTGTTCATTCTTTTGAATCTGGTTTGCTGGGAACCTGGGAAGGTGTGTTGACTAGAGGTGGCTTCTATAAGGAGCTTTTGAAAGAGCTCATATTGATCTTTCATTCCATAGGGGATCAATTCCATCTGGTAAGAGGATTAACTAATTTACTGGATGGAATAGTCACGTGGAGTTGCATTCACCTACTGTTTATATTCTGTACTTGGAAAATATTGCATGGATTTTGCACTTGATATATTGTATGCAGTCTTACACAAAGAAGAAATGTGTTTGCATTATTGATTTGCACATTTTTTATATAGTTTATATTCATTGTATATATAATTACAAAAGCACTGATACTTTTGTAGCAATTTACTGCTTTAAGAATCTTAAACGGGAAGCATATCTATTTCATTTTCAAATACTTATAGAGTTTGTATTCCAAACACACAGTGTACTGCACCCAGGGGCATATTTACCACAAGGCAAACAAGGCATTTGCCTAGGGTGGCATTTTTTAGGGGGGAAGCACCGTCCCCCAGAAGATGGGACATATGCGGCATGGGGACCTGGTGGGATCCAAGAGAGGCGGCAGGCTGCTTGATGGTGGATACAGAAGCCCCAAATGTCAATCCATAGCTTCGTATTGTGGTACAAATGGTTTGTTTGGTGACTGTGATCCCAACTGCCTTGAGATCATTCACAAGCTTCTCCCGTGTAGTTCTGGGCTACACTTTTCTCATAATCATCCTTACTCCATGAGGCAAAATCTTGCATGGAGCTCCAGACTGAGGGCAATTGATGCTTATTTTGCATTTCTTCCATTTGCAAATAATTGCTCCAACAGTTGTCTCCTTCTCACCAAGCTTCTTGCTGATGGTCATGTAGCCCATTCCAGCCTTTTGCAGGTCTAAAATCTTGTCCCCGATGTCCTTTGATGGCTGTTTGGTCTTGCTCATGATGATAAAGTTTGAATGGAAAAAATAAATTCTGTTGACAGGTGTCTTTTATACACATAACGAGTTGTCATTAGGAGCACCTTCTTAAATTGACAGGACTAATATGTGTACCACATGAGCACATAGCCAGTTTGTGATTGCCAGAATTACTGTTGGTTGGTAGGGGATAAAATTACTTATTTTACTCACTGAACTACAACTCAATTTATAACATTTATATCATGTATTTTGTTCTGAATTTTGGTTGATATTCTGTCTCTATCATTTAAAATACACCTATGGTAAAAATTATAGACAGTTCATTTCTTTGTAAGTGGGCAATCTAACAAAATCTACAGGAGATCAAATAATTACACTGTTCAACAAATTTTTATTTTTTGCCAGTTTTGGAAACAAAAGGATCCAATTTCTTAATGAATTTCACATTCTGAGTTCAAATATAACAATGAAATTTGTCAATTGGCTCTAGTTTTTCTGTAAACGGAAAGTTTTCTACTATAGGCGTAATGACTACATAATGCACAATAATTATATAGATAGATGTCTTTCCACAAATATAAAGCAAGTGATATTGACTACATAACAAAGCCTAAATGGCATAATATATTGCATAGGATTACCAAGAAAAATTATAGCCATAATCTAAGTTGAATCATTTTAATACTTAGGATTCTCACTAGTTTTGTCTTCAGTTTGTGTCGGTTTTGCTTCTCTTGGCTTTTCTCTTGTATTCGAGGAAAGGGCTATCTCTTACAACTGCACGTGACTACACACTTCAGGTTCTTCCTCACTTGACTCAACCACAAAGGATTCTGGTGCTTTAGGAATTGGTAGCCCCTCTCCATGAGGAACTGGACGTATTGCCGATGGAATATTTGGATAGTGCACAGATAACTTTTTCTTCTTATTTAGCCCTTTTACAATTGGAGGCACCATACAAAAGTAACAATTACTAACATGATCTGTTGGCTCTCTCCAAATCATTGGCACAGCGAAAGGCATAGATGCCTTTTTTCCATTCAACCATTGCTCCAGTGCCGTCCCACAAGAATTGCAGCATATATGTGGTGCCCAGCTCTTGTCCTGGTCTCCTATCTTGCAGCCAAAATACAAGTTGTAGGCTTTCTTAATCATTCCTGTTATCCTCCTTTTTTGTGAGATAAAAGTTATTTCACCGCAGATATAGCAGAAATTATCTGCTTTATTCACACAAGTTCGAGGCATTACTGAGTAGCCTATATAAGCATAAAACGAAATGTAAAGACGCTGTCGAACTACAATCAGCTACAGATACTGCAGCTTTTATGCAGTGAAGTGATGCAATTAAAGGCTAATATTGCATCATCTCAGTATACATGCAATTTTCTATTGGTCACCAGTATCAATTGCGCAATATGCAGCTGAAGTTGCATCATAATTTTGAATGGCTTACGTCATTAGATGGGTGAATATATCATAGAAACTAGAGCCAATCAACATTTTTTAGGGTCATTTTCGTTTTCAGCACCCCAAAATTATGTAAGATTAGCTAATTTTATGCCCAAAACTTTTTACCTGTTGAACAGTGTTATTTCCCCCACTGTATATGCGTATATATAGATGCAAAAGGTGCATTCTGGATTTCTTATACTTTCTGGTGCTGGATTGCATGTGGTTACCAAAGGTACACAGTTATTTGTTTTTTCACTTTGTATTATAGGAGATTTTCTCTTTGTGCTTTCAAGGCAGTATTCATGTTAGTTACTGATGGTTTTGTTCCTGTAACTTTTCTTAAAGAAAGGATTCTGCTAATACTATGAGATGTTTATTTTTGTCTTCTGGGTCAGAGCATATGTAATGGTATCTGGTTTCTGGCTGTGTTTCATGAATCGTTTGATATGTTGGTAGTAATCGCTGAGATAGTTGCATCAGTCAGTGAAGTTCCTATTTATTAAGGTGTGCAGTTTTTCATTCCCATTGGATACTGTGGGGTCTAAAAAACTCACATGTTCTTGAATAGTCCATTTTTCATTTGATTGATGAGTGAAACATATTAGGCAATAAGTGATTTTCTTCAC